GGCCATTAGGAAACAGGTAATAACAACAGGAGGAGGAAGAGGGAAGCCAAGGAAGGATTACAGGGGACTTTCGGAGAGGAATATTGGGGAACTGAGTCTGCTGGGAGAGACTGGACTGCCCTCCTCCAGCCTCAGTCTTCCCTTACCCCTCCACATATTTATGTTTCGGTTTCTAGCTATGTGGAAAGGCAAAGGTCAGTGCATGAGAAGAATGGGAAAAAGATATGTACCCTGCCCAGCCCACCTTCCCCCTTGGCTTCCTTGGCCCCGGTTGCTGATTCCTCCACGAGGGTGGACTCTCCCAGCCATGGCCTGGTGACCAGCTCCCTCTGCATCCCTTCTCCAGCCCAGCTGTCCCAAACCCCCCAATCACAACCTCCTCGGCCTAGTACTTACAAGGTAAGAAGGGGAGGCCGTGTTTCCTCTGATAATTTGTTCTCTTTCATTGTCTGTTTCAGCTGCTCTGTCTGAATATTGCACCTGCCACATCCTGTCTCTTCCTTTTTCCCACCCGTTTTATCCTGTAAATCCTCCTGTCTGTTTCTTTTCTCCTGTACTCTAGATCTCTGACTCTTTGTCTCTGACTTCCCTGCAGACAAGTGTGGCCACACAATGCGATCCAGAAGAGATCATCGTGCTCTCAGACTCTGATTAGCTGCCTCCCCTTCTCCCTGCCTCCAGAATGTTTTGGGATAGCATGTGGAGGAATGTGGGAAGCAGATGACTGAGGAAGGGATGGACTAAGCTAATCCCCTTTTGGTGGTGTTTCTTTAAAAAAAAAAAAAAAAAAAAGCTTAAGTTTTACACAGAAACATTAATAAACAATAAAGTTCTTTTCTTACTGTATCACTGTCTTTTTCTTGTCCTTCTACTGTTACAGATTGGCATTAGCTGTCCCCTTGCTCAGGGTTAGCCCAATATCCCCGGGGTAGTCCCGATCTGTCCTTTCTAGCCTGGTCTTTTGTTGTTGTTGTCTCGCTGTGTCGCCCAGGCCAGAGTGCAGTGGTGCGATCACAGCTCACTGCAGCCTGGACCTCCCAGTCTCAAGTGATAATGCCTCAGTCTCCCGATAGCCGGGACTACAGGCGCGTGCCACCATACCTGGCTAATTTTTTGTTTTTGTTGTTTGTATTTTTTGTAGAGACAGGGTTTCGCCATGTTGTTCAGGCTGTACTTTTTTTTTTTTTAAGTGCTTCAGCCGCCTTAACGCACTTTACTTTTTCACTTCGTGCAGTAGGAGTGAAAAAGCCAATGAGGGGCCGACTCAAGGTTATTTGGCCAATCCAGGCACGGAGAAAGGGGGCGGGGCTTCAGGGGGCTGTAAGGAGCTAGGAAAAGGGCGATTAGATCCCACCAACCAGCTAATGGTCACAGCTCAGAGGCGGAGCCTGGGGAACGATACCTGAACCCATCGCCAATGGGAAAAGACAGGCTTATAGCTTTAAAGGGGAATAAATGCTTCGGCCGAACCAAGTCCTGAGTTCCCAGCGGAGGAGGGGGATCTGATCTTTTAAGGTGGAATGAGGCGACGGTTCTTTAAAGGCAAAGTGGCCGAGTCGGCCGAGTATTGCCCAGCGGCACGGGCGGGGTGGCCGGCTGTGCCTTTAAAGGCAGAGGGGCGGGAGGCGGAGCGGAGGCGGAGGGCGGAGGGAGTCGGCGCAAGATGGCGGCGGGAGGGGCCCAAGCTGCTGCTCTGGCCGCCGAGTGAGGGGCGGGGGGGGCCCGGGGGCGCGCGGCCCGGTAAGCGAGGACGCGCGAGGTTGGGGGGCGCCTTCCGAGTGGGAGAAGAGGTCGAGGTAGCGCCTGGGGCGGAGCGGGGGGGGCGGGGTCCGTTGTGGGCGGAGGTAGACAAGGGGCGGGGTCGACAGGCCCGATAGTGGGCGGGGCACGGGGGCGGGCCTGGAAAGGGGCGGGGCTAGAGAGAAGCTGGGGTAAAGGGGGCGTGGTCGACGAGAGAGCTTGCGGGGCATAGCATGGAGGGGAGATGGAGCAAGGGTTGGTTTTCAGTAGCGGAGCTGCCCTGCCCCCTCCCAAAAAGTGGGTGCAAAACACCAAAAAGGTAGATTTTGGAATGTCAGACTCCCAGGTAAATGGGAAATAGGGTGTAATTCCGAAGGAAGCCACTCCACCCCCTAAGAGCACCTTATTTCTCTAACCTCCAAGGAAAGGGCACAGGATTTGTCAGATACCTGTGTTTGCTGGCGGTGCCACTTGCTGTGTGACCTTGGATAATCTTGTAATCTTTCTGAGCCTCAGTTTCCTCATCTGTCAAATGGGGTTGAGAGGAATACCTACCTCACTGTTGTGGGGAGTTACACAGATAATGGGTGTGAACATATTTTTGAGTTGTAATGGGCTGTGTCGTTATAAGATGTTATCATTATTCTTTTCTCTTTTTCTTCCCAGAGACCCCCCCGGCCGCCCTCTTCCTTTCTTTGTTCCTGTGGCTGGGGGGGTATCCCCTCCCTCCACAACATGGAGCCATCTCCTCTGTCTCCCAGTGGGGCAGCACTTCCCCTGCCGCTGTCGCTGGCTCCGCCCCCACTACCCCTGCCAGCAGCTGCGGTGGTACATGTGTCCTTCCCTGAGGTGACCAGTGCCCTCCTGGAGTCCCTCAATCAGCAGCGTCTGCAGGGCCAGCTCTGCGATGTGTCTATCCGAGTGCAGGGCCGTGAGTTCCGGGCTCATCGGGCTGTCCTGGCTGCCTCCTCCCCTTACTTCCATGATCAGGTCCTACTCAAGGGCATGACCTCCATCTCACTGCCCAGTGTCATGGACCCAGGCGCCTTTGAGACTGTCCTAGCCTCCGCTTACACTGGCCGCCTCAGCATGGCTGCTGCTGACATTGTCAACTTCCTCACAGTGGGGTCTGTGCTCCAAATGTGGCACATTGTGGACAAGTGCACTGAACTACTCCGAGAAGGCCGGGCCTCAGCTACCACCACCATCACTACTGCTGCAGCCACCTCTGTCACTGTCCCTGGTGCTGGGGTCCCATCCGGGAGTGGGGGCACTGTGGCCCCTGCTACCATGGGCTCTGCACGCTCCCATGCCTCCAGCCGGGCCAGTGAGAATCAATCTCCCAGCAGCAGCAACTACTTCAGCCCCAGGGAGTCCACTGATTTCTCATCTTCCTCTCAAGAGGCATTTGCAGCTTCTGCAGTGGGCAGTGGGGAGCGTCGAGGAGGTGGCCCCGTGTTCCCAGCCCCTGTCGTTGGCAGTGGGGGGGCCACATCTGGAAAGCTGCTGCTGGAGGCAGATGAGCTGTGTGATGATGGTGGGGATGGGAGGGGGGCAGTGGTTCCTGGGACTGGGCTCCGGAGACCCACCTACACACCCCCTAGCATCGTGCCACAGAAACACTGGGTATATGTGAAGCGAGGTGGTAATTGCCCAGCACCAGCACCGCTGGTTCCCCAAGACCCAGATCTGGAGGAGGAAGAGGAGGAGGAAGACCTGGTGTTGACCTGTGAGGATGATGAAGATGAAGAGCTAGGGGGTAGCTCCAGGGTTCCAGTAGGGGGAGGGCCTGAGGCTACCCTCAGCATAAGTGATGTCCGTACCCTGAGTGAGCCCCCAGACAAGGGAGAGGAGCAGGTTAACTTCTGTGAGTCCTCCAATGACTTTGGCCCATATGAGGGTGGGGGTCCTGGGGCAGGTCTTGATGACTCAGGGGGGCCAACTCCCTCTTCCTATGCACCCTCCCACCCTCCTCGACCACTTCTTCCCTTGGACATGCAGGGCAACCAGATCTTGGTCTTCCCGTCGTCTTCATCCTCCTCCTCACAGGCTCCTGGCCAACCACCAGGGAACCAAGCAGAACACGGGGCAGTGACTGTGGGGGGCACGTCGGTGGGGAGCCTGGGTGTGTCGGGTAGCGTTGGGGGGGTCCCTGGAGGGACTGGCAGCGGGGACGGGAATAAGATCTTTCTGTGCCATTGTGGGAAGGCCTTCTCCCACAAGAGTATGCGGGACCGGCACGTGAACATGCATCTCAATCTGCGGCCGTTTGACTGCCCCGTGTGCAACAAAAAGTTCAAGATGAAGCACCATCTGACTGAGCACATGAAGACGCACACAGGTCTCAAGCCCTACGAGTGCGGAGTCTGCGCCAAGAAGTTCATGTGGCGAGACAGCTTCATGCGCCACCGAGGACACTGTGAGCGCCGGCACCGCCTGGGTGGGGGCGGAGCCGGACCTGGGCCTGGGACGCCCACGGGGCCTTCCTTGCCTTCCAAGAGAGAGTCTCCCGGAACGGGCGGGGGCAGCGGCGATGAAGCGAGTGCGGCCACGCCCCCGTCCAGTAGACGTGTCTGGTCCCCACCCAGCGTCCACAAGGTGGAGATGGGCTTCAGTGGAGGTGGGGGAGCAAACTGAAGGGGCAGGCTACTGGGGTGGGGTAGCTTTCGGGAAAAGGAATAAGCACTATACAAGGGCGCTGTGACCCCCGGGTGATCTCCCACCACTCTTCCTGTCTTCCTTTATCTCTGTGGACTTGTATATATTCTGGAAGGGGAGCCACAGTTGCACCATCGCCCGCCCATTCTACTACTCAGCCCCTCCCTCCCAAGGTATTTCCGGAACTAAGCCCTTCCTTTCCCTCTGATGGGTACACTGAAGCCCCTGCTCCACAGAGTAGGATGCACGAGGAGGGTAGGAGAGGGGGCGTGTTGAGCATCTTGCAGTCACAGGGTCAGGGGTCAGGTGGTTGTAGTCTGTGCCTGAAGTCTGTGTTTGTGTTGTCGTGGAGACCAGGCCTTTGAGCCCCACCCTTGTCCTAGAACCTACCCCCTCTCAAGGATGCGCTCTTTATTTCTACCCTCTGTCCTCGCCACCCCCCACTTCCCGTGGAAATTCCCAACTCGGTTCTCATGGAGGAGTGGGTGGAGACAAGGAGGGAGTAAGTCTTAGGAGTACAAGGTTTTTATTTTTTTTAACAGTGATTAAAATATTTATTGGTCATTTACTTGGCTTCCCGACACCCGTGTGTTTGGTGGGGACGCGGCACAGATGGGGGAAAGCAGGAGTAATGGTTTTCGGGCAAGTGGATGCTGGAGAGCACACACAGGAGTTGGGGAGCGGGGAGTGGGTGCCTGGGCTTGGGGAGGGCTCGAACTCGGGGCTGCTGTGTAGTCCAAGAGGGCGCGGTAAGACTGGGGTGTCCTGGTGAGAACTGGAGAGGATCTTCCCGGGTCCCTGCCTGGCCAGTGAGGAAACACTGGTCTCCCAGGCACCCTCACCTAACCAGAGCGGGGATTTCCACCGCCTCTCCCGTCGCCCTTTGGAGGAAAGTGAAAGTGAAAGGAGGAAGAGGAGGGTTGCTGGCTGAGGAGGTCGCAGAGCCATGAAGTCGCTGTCTCTGCTCCTCGCTGTGGCTTTGGGTGAGAGAACCCCGCGACTCATCGCCCAGGAACTAGAGGGAAGCGGGGGGAGGTGGCCCCACTGGAGCCGACGCCAGGGTGGGTGGGAGTGGGCAGGTCACCAGATATCCAAGCCGCCCCTCACTCGCGCCCCTATACGCCAGGCCTGGCGACCGCCGTCTCGGCAGGACCCGCGGTGATCGAGTGTTGGTTCGTGGAGGATACGAGCGGAAAGGGTCTGGCCAAGAGACCCGGTGCACTGCTGTTGCGCCAGGGACAGGGGGAACCGCCGCCCCGGCCGGACCTCGACCCTGAGCTCTACCTCAATGTGCACGGTGAGTCTTTAGGGACTCGCCGCCCCCCTACCTCTGTCGCCTCCACCGAAACCCCCTCCTCTTTAGATCCGGCAGTGACCTCGGGCCTCAGCTTCCCCCTCTATAAAGTGAGTCTCACTATGGGGTAGTCTGTGCATTTGAAATTCCCTGAACGCTGCCCTTCCAGCCCCTTTCCCGGCGGTGACTCTACAGCTGCAACTTCCTTCTCTACACTCAGACCCCGCGGGCTTCCTCCAGGCTGCCTTCAGGCGGTACCCCCGGGACGCCCCCGCACCACACTGTGAGATGAGCCGCTTCGTCCCTCTCCCCGCCTCTGCGAACTGGGCCAGCGGCCTGACCCCGGCGCGGAACTGCCCGCGGGCCCTGGATGGGGCTTGGCTGATGGTCAGCATGTCCAGCCCAGTCCTCAGCCTCTCCAGCCTCTTGCGACGACAGCCAGAGCCTCAGCAGGAGCCTGTTCTCATCACCATGGCAACAGGTAGCTGGGGAGGGGAGGTGAAGGGTGGGTAGATTCTAAGGGTCCAGATCAGCCGGTGGTCTCGCTTTATGGACTTGAGCAAGACATTTCGCTAATCGGGGTTCAGTTTCCTTTTTTTGTTAAGAGAGGTGTTTGGCTAGAATGAATCAATCTCTACCGCTCCTTCTAGCCCTCACCCAGTTAAAAAAAAATACTGCGGCTTGGCGGGGGTGTTGGGGGAGAGCCGGGGCGGTCAAGGGGGTTACTTTCTGATGTTTCGAAGGGCGGGGCTTTGAAGAGGTGGGATTTCCGGACACCAGACCTGGAGAGACTTGTCAGGTGATGCGAGGTGGGAGGGGTTCAGAGGCAGGAGCGTTTTTTCTCTGCTCCTGCCAGATCTGTATCTTGCTCGGCATCCTCAGCTTTGCGGTTCACTCTTTCAAAACCCAGCTCTCTAGCCCCACCTGCGCCCACACCCGGCGCTGCGGCAATCCGCAAAGCAAAGGCTCTTGCACTCTAGCGCGTTGACCTTCCCTGACAGCCGCGTGTGGGGATGTGCTGCCGCTCTGTGGTCCGCAAACAAGTGGGCTCGAGTGGGCGGATGGACGCTGCTGGAGATTGGGTGGTTCCTATTGCATTGCAGGGTGCGTTGCAGTTTGAGGCCCAGGGGTCAGAAGCTTTGCTGGGCTGGGACGTGGGAGGGACTGTGCAGATAATTCAAGAATGAGGAGAATCTGACCTGGATATCTGGGAGCTCTCCGTCCTGGCAGTGGAGGCGGGGTATTCCTGGGTAGAATACCTGTAGAGTTCTTAGCTTTTCTATCTGGATTTTATGTAAGCGACACAGCCTGATGGACAGGCCAACCCTGCACCCTCCCTTCCCTCCACCCTCCTGAGAATTACCCACAGAACCAGGGAGACAGACTTGAAACCCACGCTGAAACCCTCACCTCTGCCTACACCTCCATTCTTAGTCTCAAGCCCCCACCCTGGCAGAAGCTGAGGAGCACTGCTCTTGTGTAGACAGTAGCTCTCTCTGGTGGGGGGAATATTTCCTAGGGCTACTGGCTCCACCGAGGTGATGATGAGAATGGTCTTTGCTTTCTGAGTTTGTTTTTCCAACTGTAAAATGTGCATACTATTTCCCAGCTGCCTTTCCTGTTGTGACTATCAAGAGATGGCACTGTGTTAATTTATTCATTGACTTAATAAATACTTATTAGCACCAAGAATGAGCTGGGACTCAGCAGTTCTCAGTCCACACTGGAAATAAGAATCCTGTTGGAGGTTTCTAAAATATACTGAAACCTCATTCAATCCCATGCTTGACTTGGTCAATTAAATCAGAATCTCTGGGGTGGCCCTGGGTACCCTTGAGGGTCACAAAGATGATCCGATGTAGATTCTGCTCTCCAGGAGGTTCTGGGCGGATTTGCCACAGATAATCCTAATGTAAAGTAGAAAGTGAAGGACGTGCAGACAGGGAGCCTTGGAAGTGTCCAGGTGGTAAGATTGTCTGTATCTCACAGACAACTGGGGTCAAAGCAAGGTGCTATGCTATTTTTTATTTTTATTTTATTTATTTATTTATTTATTTTTGAGACGGAGTTTTGCTCTTGTTGCCCAGGCTGGAGTGCAATGGCATGACCTCACACTCACCGGAACCTCCGCCTCACTGGTTCAGGCGATTCTCCTGCCTCAGCCTCCCCAGTAGCTGGGATTACGGGTGCACACCACCACACCCAGCTAATTTTGTATTTTTAGTAGAGATGGGGTTTCTCCATGTTGGTAAGGCTGGTCTTGAACTCCCAACTTCAGGTGATCCTCCCACTTTGCCTCCCAAAGAGCTGGGATTACAAGCGTGAGCCACTGTGCCCGGCCTGCTATCTATCTATCTATCTATCTATCTATCTATCTATCTATCTATCTATCTATGTTTGAGACAGAGTCTCCCTCTTATTGCCCAGGCTGGAGTGCAGTTGCAGTGGCATGATCTTGGCTCACTGCAACCTCTGTCTCCCAGGTTCAAGCAATTCTCGTGCCTTAGCCTCCCCAGTAGCTGGGATGACAGGTGCATGCCACCATGCCCACCTAATTTTTGTATCTTTAGTAGAGACAGGGTTTCACCATGTTGGCCAGGCTGGTCTTGAACTCCTGACCTAAGATGGTCTGCCTGCCTTGGCCTTCCAAAGTGTTGGGATTACAGGCGTGAGCCACCACGCCCAGCCTGCTGTGCTCTTTCTTTTCAAGCATTTTTGCTTGATTTGGGATTTAAGAAAATGAAAGCTGTTGTGCTGATGTACAATTAGAAATGAAATCTCTCCAGGGTCAAAGATCATTGATAATTTTGCTAATATACATTTATACTTGTCTTATCAAATATTTTAAAATGTTTGTTGACAAATATACTTATTTATTTATTTGAGACAGGGTCTCCCTCTGTCGCCCAGGCTGGAGTGCAGTGCAGGCTGGAGAGCAGTGGCATGATCTCAACTCACTGCAACCTCCACTTCCATGGCTCAAGTGATCCTCGTGCCTCAGTTTCCTGAGTAGCTGGGACCACAGGCATGTGCCACCATGCCCAGCTAATTTTTGTATTTTTATTTGTAGAGATGGGGTTTCATCAGGTTGCCCAGACTGGTCTTGAACTCCTGGGCTCAATTGATCTGCCCACCTTGGCCTCCCAAACTGCTGGGATTACAGGTGTGAGCTGCCTGGCCCCAAATATACCTTTTTTTTTTTTTTGAGAACCAGAGTGCTGCACCCGTGCCCAGCTGACAGTGCAATGGCGTGATCTCTACCTCCGCATTGGCAACCTCTGTCTCCTGAGTTCAAGTAATTCTTCTGTCTCGCCTCACTGAGTAGCTGAGGACTACAGGGTGCCACCCGCACCGTCAGCTAATTTTTGTATTTTTTAGTGGAGACAGGGTTTTGTCCACATAGCCAGGCTGGTCCTCGAACTCCTGACCTCAAAGGTGATCCAGCCCCACCTCAGCGTCCCAAATTGGGCTGGGATTACAGGCTGAGCCACCATGCCAGGCTTTACTTTCTTAATAACTGTTGTTAGTATAAGTAAAAAAAAATAATATGCATTCTCACCCAGTGCTTTTAAAATATTAACTGAGGCCAGGTAAGGTGACTCATAGCCTGTACTCCAGCACTTTGGGAGGGTCTAGGTTGGGAGGATCATTTTGATACTCAGGGTTTGAGACCAGCCTGGGCAAACATGTAACCCAGGACCTTGTCTCTTACTAAATATTAAAAAGATGGCTGGGTACAGTGGCTCACATCTGTGAATCCCAAGCACTTTAGGGAAGGGCTGAGGTGGGCAGATCACCTGAGGTCGAAAGTTCGAAGACCAGCCCCTAACCAACAGTGGAGAAACCCGTCTCTACTAAAAATACAAAATTAGCTTGGGCATTGCGGTGGCACATGCCTGTAATTCCCAGCTACTCAGGGAGGCGAGGGCAGGAGAATTGCTTGAACCGCTCTGGGAGGGCGGAGGTTGCCAATGAGCCAAGATCATGCCATTCACTCCCATGCCTGGAGAACAAGAGTGAAACCCTGTCTCAAAAAAAAAAAAAAAAGTTCTGGAATCGTCGTCCCAGCTACTCTGGAGGCCTGTGGTGAGGGATTGGCACCTTATGTTGAACGGAGTGGACCCAATCCATATTTATACCTATTGGTTTGTTATAATTTTATTTTTCCTTTTATAAGATGGGATCTTGCTATGTTGCTCAGGCTGGTCTCAAACTGCTGGCTTCAAGTGATCCTCCCACCCTATCAGCCCGTCCCAAGGGTACCTGGGATTAGACGTCTGAGCCACCCCTGCCCAGCCAGATTTGTTTATTAATCCTGGTGATTTTTTTTTTTTTTTTTTTTGAGATCAAAGTTTTGCTCCTTGTTGCGCCAGGCCCCTGGAGTGCAATGGCATATTCAGCTCAGCCGGCAACCTCCACCCGCTCCCCGTTTCGAATTGATTCTCGCTGCCTCACGCTTCCCAAGGTAGCTGGGACTACCAGGCATGCACCACCATGCCCCGGCTTAAATTTTTGTATTTTTAGTAGAGATGGGGTTTCTTCAGTCTGGTCTCAAACTTCCAACCTCAGGTGATCTGCCCGCTTCGGCCTCCCAAAGTGCTGGGATTACAGGCATAAGCCACTGCACCCGGCCTGTGGATCTTTTTTTTAGCAATTCAAAAGTATGTTTCTGGATTTTGACAAACTAAGTGAAATTGCATACTGTTTTTACTCTACTGAACAATTCCATGAAGCTGAGAACAGTTTAACCTTATAGGCCTCAGAAGCTAGGACTAAAAAGAACATACAGATAATAACAAGAAGAAAAAGATTATTTCTACCCGAAGGACCTAGACATTTCTGGGAAGAAACAGCAGTGAAAATGACCTTAAAGTACATAGAGTATTTAGATCACGGGTCTCCAATCTTTTGGCTTCCCTGGGCCACACTGGGAGAATAATTGTCTTGGACCACACATAAAATACACAAACACGATTGCTGATAAGCTAGAAAAAATTGTGAAAAAAAATCTCATAATGTTTTAAGAAAGTTTATGAATTTGTGTTGGGCTGCATTCCAAGCCGTCCTTGGCCGCATGTAGCCCGTGGGCTGGAGGTTGGACAAGCTTGATAGATGTTTGGGAGAAAATGGGAAAGACATTGTAAACTGAAGGGACCTCATGACCAAAACAAAGAGATGCCCAATGATGACCACTTCTACTAGGCACAAGGAAGGGGTTCTATGTGGCTGGTTTGTAGGGTGCAGGAGAAGTGTGGAAGGGTGGGTTAGGGGCTGAATGTTCAAATACCGTGAAAGCTGGGCTTTGTTCTGTAGGTGAGAGTGAACCATCAGAAGTTCTTTTGGAGGGCTGGTTGTTCTAAAAAGCCTGTTTGTTTTGTTTTGTTTTGTTTTGTTTTTGAGACAGAGTCTCGCTCTGTCACCCACATTGGAGTGCAGTGGCGTGATCTTGGTTCTGCTCTGCAAGCTCCGCCTCCTGGGTTCACGCCATTCTCCTGCCTCAGGCCCCAGAGTAACGGGGATAACAGGCGCCCAACCACCTACGCCGGGCTAATTTTTGTGTATTTTTAGTTAGAGATGGGGTTGTCACCATGTTACGCCAGAATGGTTCGAACTCCGTAACTTCATGATCCCGCCCGCCTCGGCCTTCCAAAGTGCTAGGATTACAGGTGTAAGCCACCGTGGCCCGGCCTAAAAAGCCTGTTTTTTATTATGTACATATTTATTTTTTGAGACGGAGGTTTCACTCTTGTCGCCATGCTGAGTGCAATGGGACAATCTTGGCTCACGTGCAACCTCTGCCTCCTGGGTCAGGCAATTCTCCCTGCCTCAGCCCCCCAAGTGTGTGGATTACAGACACCCGCAACCACACCCAGCTAACTTGTTTTTTGTATTTTAGTAGAGATGGGGTTTCTCATGTTGGCCCAGGCTCGCTCTCGAACTCCTGACCTCAGGTATTCCACCCTGCCTCAGT